TTAACAGTCAATGACCAGCTAATGGACAGTTAATTAACAGTCAATGAACAGCTAATGAGAAGTCAGTGAACAGCTAATGGACAGTTAATTAACAGTCAATGAACAGCTAATGGGCAGTTAATTAAGAGTCAATGAACAGCTAATGGGCAGTTAATTAACAGTCAATGAACAGCTAATGGACAGTTAATTAACAGTTAATGAACAGTTAATGAACAGCTAATGAAAATCGAGTTAATGAACAGCTAATGGACAGCTAATGAACAAATAATGAACAGCTAATGAAGAGCTAATGGACAGTAAATGGACAGTTAATGAACAATTAATGAACAATTAATGAAGATTGAGTTAATGGACAGCTAATGGACAGTTAGGTGGCACGGTGGCGCCGTTGGTAGAGCTGCTCCCTCTCAGCGAGAAGGTTATCGGATCAAATCCCAGCCCGGGGCCTTTCTGGGTGGCGTTTGCATGTTCTCTCCGTGCATGTGTGGGTTTTCTCCAGGTACTCCAGTTTCCTCCCACAGACCAAAAACATGCACGTTAGACTGATTGGTAACTCTGAATTGTCCCTAGGTGAGAGTGAATGGTTGTTTGTCTCGTTTGTCTCTATGTGTCCCTGTGATGGACTTGAGACCTGTCCAGGGTGTCCCCCACCTCTCCGACAGTGATATCTGAACATGGGCACCAGTGACCCCTGCAACCCAAAAATGAAGAAGCGGGTAAAGATAATGGATGCATGAACAGCTTTTTATTCGTTCGTACCCATCTGCTCACCACAGACTCATGTTCGTGCTGCTGTTGTTACGTCCTTTTGTTTTACACTGGTAGTATTTAGCGTATATCTTAGTTCATATTTAGACCCTTATATACAGATTCTTTTTACACTTTATATTTTTGCTATTGTTAAGTGTAACTGGGACCCTGTGTACATAATTTTGTTCCACCTCATGTACCACGTGGTGAGAACGACAACAAACCTACTTGAACTTGGATCAGTTAACGCAGTTAACAGTTACTTTACTGTGATTTAAACTTTAAACTTGATCATTTAGAATCTAAAGAAAACAACTAATAGCAGTAAAACAACACTTATTTGCCGTGTGGTGACTTTTTTCCCGGCTCACCTTTAAAATTCATCATAAAAAGTTTTACATTCTCAGAGTATTTGAACTTGGACGTGCTTCATTATCCTACAGGCGGGGGGCGCTGTTCACTGGTGAACCAAAATCTATTCATCCATCATCTTTACACGCTTCTTCCTTTCCGGTGTGTCACTGGTGCCCAAGTCCAGCAGTCACTGTGTGAGAGGTGGAGGACATCTGGATATGTCTCCAGTCCATCACAGGGACACAGAGACAAACATTCACCCTCTCTCTCACCTAGGGACAGTTACCAATCAGCCTAGCATGCATGTTTTTGGGCTGTGGGAGGAAACCGGAGAAAACCCACGCATGCACGGAAAGAACATGCAAACTCCACCCAGAAAGGCCCCTGACCGGGATTTGATCCGGGGCAACCTGCTCGCTGAGAGGCGGCAGTTCTAACAACTGCGCCACCGTGCTGCCTGAACCAAAATCTAAACTTTTTTAATTTTTTCTAACCTTCATTTATACAGGTAGTCTCACTGAGTCACGAGGACGCATTTTCAAGAGAGGGAGCAGATGATGCAGGTTGAGTGCCTTGCTCAAGGGCCCAGAGTGGGGCAAATGAGGGTGGAGACAGGTGTGGGTGCTTCACCTTTCCCACCCACATTTTGATGTTGTTGGCCTGGGGAGTTGAACCGGTGACCTTCCACCTTCAGGCCCACCTTCTCTAACCTCTGCGCCACCACTCCATTTTATGACGTTTCCCAAACATTTATTTTCCTTATTTTAGTCCAAATGCCTGAAATGGTGTTGAAATCAGGTTCTGCAGCTGCACACACGAACGAAACGCACATTAAATGTTTAAATAAACATTAAACGACACGAGTGTCGCGTGTCGATGTAAAGTGAGATGTAAGGGTGTGTGTAGTTTTGGAGTTATTTTAATCCACGTTGGTTTTGGCCGCTTTCAAATTAGCCGTTAGCTCCAAACTGTAGATGTGAAGAATCATTGTGGTTCAGTTCCCGGCCCCCTCCCTGCCTCGGGCTCCGAACTGTCATGGCGGCCTTCTCCAGGATCCTCCATCTGCCTACATGGACTGAACTCTACGGAACAGTTTGGTTCCACGGGGAAACCTTGGATGTTCTGTGTCTGCCTGACCCAGTTCTGAAGGGCAGTCATTGTCCGTTGCTGCGATCGATATCATCATGCTGCTAACAGGACCATGCTGCTAACAGGACCATGCTGCTAACAAGACCATGCTGCTAACAGGACCATGCTGCTAACAGAAGCATGTTACCAATAGGACCACACTGCTAACAGGACCATGCTGCTAACAGGACCATGCTGCTAACAGAAGCATGTTGCCAATAGGACCATGCTGCTAACAGAAGCATGTTACCAATAGGACCACACTGCTAACAGGACCATGCTGCTAACAGGACCATGCTGCTAACAGGACCATGCTGCTAACAGGACCATGCTGCTAACAGAAGCATGTTGCCAATAGGACCATGCTGCTAACAGGACCATGCTGCTAACAGAAACATGTTGCTAACAGGACCATGTTGCTGTAGATGTTTTTCTTTTTCACTTTTGGAGCCTTGTTTTTATATTTTTGCTGCATGCTTTGATATTTCTTGTTGTTTTTTGGCGAGTCGAGACGGTTCTTCTCGTCCTGAGCATTTCATTACATTGCTGACCTTGTGTTGATCTGCATATGACAATAAACCCAACAACCTCCAACTACAATTAAATTGCTCGTGGAACCCTGTTAGAAAATGGCCAGACTTTCCCTTTAGGCACCTGATTTTTTGGGTTATATGCAGCCCTCTGTTGTAGCTCCTTTTTATCTACATTATAAATTTAAAAGTTGTTTTTAGCCTCACCTGTCCAGCACAGTCCTCAAGGCCCGTTCGATGTTCATGCGGTGTCCGACTCGCGTCACGCCCAGGTCCAAATAGTCGTCCTTGGTCAAAGACGGCAGGTGGGTTCCATCGATCTCGTTGTCCAGGAAGCGTTCTCTGTGCTCCCCCAGGTTCAGGTACGCCAGCCAGTCTGCAACATCATACTTGGTCCAGTAGGGCAGCGGCTTGGAGGCAAACGGTTTTGTCGGGGAGGGGGGCGGTAAATGGGGGTAGCTCAGACAGGTAGGGGGGGGCATGGGGTGCAGGGGCGGAGAGGACGTCCCAGACAGGAAGTGAGTCGGAGACAGTGACCGAGAGACGACCAGAGAGGCGTTAGGAGGAGGGGGGGCGCCAGAGGGGGCGAACAGGGGAGGGGAGGGTGAGAAGTACGGATCTCCGAGGGGGTTCCCAGGCGATGGGGGGGTGACTGACCCGCGGAGGTCGTAGATAGCGCTGTACAGAGGCGACGTGGGGAGAAGTGGAAGCGATGATGGACGTGGTGGGGCCATCTTGGGTCTCTCTGACTGGGATATGAGGGGGCTGGGGGCCCGCCTGCGTTGGAGCAGGTGGGACTCTGATTTGCGGGACTCCCGACTGGGAATAAACTGGAATTCCAGGGCTTTGGTCCGGTAGACGGGTCTGTGCTTGGGGGAAGTGGGGTAAGGGGAATAAGACGTCGGAGACAGCGGGGAGTGTGAACGAGGAGGCTGGGAGGAGGCGGGAGGCTGAGGAGACGGAGACCGTCCCCAGTTAGGGTACTGGGAGGCGGGGGTGGGGGACGGGGACAAGGACGGCTGCGACAACGAGACTGGAGACGGTGACTGGGAGCGGGCCGAGGGGGGGCTCAGAGCCGAGGCAGAGTCCTCAGAAAACCTGCGAACAGAAAGACGGAAAATCTTTAAGAAACAGCTAAAGAGAGAACATTCCTGCACACTTTAAGCTATTTTAGCTGTTCGGATATCAAAACGTTCAGCTCATTCAGGAGATCTGTGCTGTGTGTTTTTTGTCACTTTTATTCAATATTCAACTTAATTTGCAAAGATTTCCTCAGAGAAATACACTGAGGTCTTCAATTCTTTCAGAAACTTTTTTTATCGTTTCAGGAAAACGGCTGCTTTTTGTCTTTTTACGCTTCAGTTTTTAGCAACCAGTCTGCTACTTTTAGCCTCTTACCACTTGTAGCTTTTTGCTAGTCTTACATTTTTTGCTACTTTTTCCACTCTCTACTTTCAAATTTTCACTAGCCATTTGCTACTTTTAGCTAGCCATATTTTAGCAAGTATTTTGCTACATTTAGGTTTTAGCTATCCTTTAGCTACTTTTAGCTAGCTTTTTGGTACTTTTAGTATATACCTTTTACCACTTCTAGCTAATCCTTTTTGACTTTAGTGTTTTGCTCCATGTAGATTTGAGCTAGTCGTCTTCTTTTAGCTTTAATAACTCATTTTAGCTCCTCAGTGCTCACACTGCATTTTCTAAGAAAATACAAACCTGTTTTTTTTTTGTTTGTTTTTTACATAAATCCTGGTTAGACCCACTTGTGAAAATCAGGCACTGCACTGATTATAATTTGGACTGACTTAACTCAACCAGCCGTACACATTTTTTCAGGCTTGGGTTTAATTTTAATTTGAAGTAATTGGCAGTTTTGATTGTGTATGAGATTCTAAAAAAGACAACACCGTAATAAAAACACGTCCCATCGTCACACCAACGTTCGACTTCAGCCTTTGTTGGTAATTATCGGTGAAAAGTGTAATTTTCGACCCAGCTGTGATTAGAAACATCATCGCTGGTTGTAAAAAATACCCGACCAGTCTGAGGTTTACAGATTTCTGCTGGTGTATCCACGAGTCACAGCTCAGTGACGAACACTTGACAACGTGTGGCGGCATCCAGAGAGGCCCAACAGAACCGCGTGCACGCGCCTCAAGCGGCATTAAACAAGCTGCCACCACTGTCAAATACAAATCTGCTGTAAATGCTGAGTCAGCGTTCACACTGTTCTTTTCTCTGTTTTTTATTGTTCTGCGTGTTTTTGCAGTCCACTTCATATTTAGTGATAATTCTGCCATTTGATTATTAAAACCTTTAGCATGGGTGCTACGACTTGTTTTTTTGTTACTTTTATAAAATACTCAACTTTATTTATTTGGTAACTTCAAAAACATGATTTTGTTTGAACTAATTTTGTCTTCTTTAGTTTGTAGTCTACTACTTTTAGCTTTAAGCTACTATTCGGGTAATTTAGCATCTGGCCAGTCTTTTAATACTTTTAGACTAAAGCTAGCATTTTATACAATACAATACAATAAAACTTTATTTATAAAGCACTTTAAAAACAGCACCGTACACTAAAAAACAAGCATAAAAAAAACTATAAAATCAACTGAAACTGTAAATTTTATTTAAAATTACCAGTAAAGTAAATTAAAGTAAATAAAAAGTATTAAGGTAAATGTTATTACTTTTGTGTTTTAGCCAGCATTTTGTTACTTTTAATTACCTTGTTGCTACTTTATTTTTTCAAATACAAATTACTTTTTTAGCTAGCCTTTTGCTACCGTTTGACATCTTTTGCTTCAAGCTGGGATTTTGAAACTTTTAGCTTAAAGCTAGCATTATGGAACTTTTAGGTTTTAGCTAGACTTTCACTACTTTTAGCCACTATTCTGGTAATGTTAGCTTCTAGCCAGGCTTTTGCTACTTTTAGATTCAAGCTAATCTTTTGACTTTTTCTGGTTTAAAACTAGCATTATAATACTTTTAGCTTCAAGCTAATGTTTCCATTCTGTTAGCTTCAAGCTAGCCTTTTGATATTTCTAGCTTAAATTTAGCATTGTGAACTTTTAGCTTCAAGCTAGCCTTTTGATACTTAAAAGCTTAAAGCTTTTAGGTTTTAACTAGTCTTTTGATACTGGCAGCATTTAGCCACCCTTCTGCTGCTTTTAGCCATCATCTGCTATATTTAGCTTCTAGGTATTGTTTTTTACTTTTAGCTTGTGTTTCACTACCCTTGGCTTTTAACTAACATTTTGTTTCTGTTAGGTTTTAGCATTTTTCTCCTTTTATCTTTAAGCTAGTGTTCTGATTCTTTTAGCTTTAACAGTTTCAGCTTTTTCAGAAAATTCATTCAGCACGAAGCGTTCACAGGGAATTTTAGCTCTAATTAGGTTTAATTCAGTTTTTGACTAACTCAGAACTAACTCGGGCCTCTTTATGGCTTTTGGTTCAGGACCAGTTGGTTTGTTTTTCCAGGCCCAGAGATTCACATCATCCTGTTTGTCTTTCATCTTGTTTATGAATCTTCAGTGGTTTCTTAATATTAGTTAAGGAACCGCTAGCACAGAGAGTTTAGCTACATAGATCCCAGCGTTTGACTAGTTTTCCTGCAAACAGATGTCCAGAAATCAAAAGTTGAAATAACGTTTTAAACTGAACGCTCTCGGCCGTTCAGATCTGATCTGGTCCATAAACACCAGCAGCAACAAGAAAAGACACGACGAGTTTAGTTGAAAACATTGTGGATGCAGTGATCTTAAACAAACAGCAGAAAGATGAAAGAAAATAAAGTAAATACTTTACTGACGCTTTAATTTCACATCAGTGTCTTAACTAATTTAAACAGCCTTCTCAATTAACCAAATATTACATTGTCTCTTGCTTCCAGATGAAACTGGGACTATTTTATTGCAAAGCAGTGGCTGAAAACAAACATCCAGAAGCTGAAATGTCGGTCATTTTTGCAGTGAGGTCAAACAAATGTTCTTTTCTTTTGTGTTGTGCAGTAACTGATGGTTTAAAACCTTCATACTTGAGTTGGTTAAATGTGTTTTTGTGCAGAAAATCTTCTATATTTGCAGCAACCCTGAAAATTACATCGTAAACACAAGTACGGTGTTTCCATCAGTGTCGATCACAACTGGAGCTAAAAGAAAAATACCCACAGCTTGTACAGCCATTTGCAGGACTGAACGTCAGCTGAACACTCCAACGTTCGTTTTTAAGCTAAAGGTAAGTATTTATTACCTTCTGCCAAAAGGTGATCATGAGTTTGCTTGAAATGAAGTTTAAATTTCATGCTTTCCCAGGCAGATGGTGTGGAAGTGGCTCAATTACCTGTTTCTGCTTCTGAGAGAAACACGTGGAGGAAGCCAGAAAAAAATAGTTTACACAACGTAGACACAAAATGAACAAAACACAGAAAATACGTTTTTTTCTCATACGGCTTAAAAAAGTACAAAAACACAAAACCATCAACAGGAAGACGACGACAACAGCAACATGACGCTGAAGCTTAAAGCTAAACCAGCTTTCACAAGATCAACTTTCTGCTTTTTATTACTTCGTATTATACTTTGTGCTATTTTAGTCATTTATATTTTAAATCATTCAACCCATTCAGTAGCTGGAAGTTATAACAGATTTTGTAACTTTTATATATTAAAAAAATACATTTATAAACATTGTCCCCATAGAAATATACTCCAATTCTCTTTGAAATCTGTTTCTGCTAAACTTGCTCTGTCTTCTTGTGTTACCTTTATATTTTAGCTGGTCTTTTGCTAATTTCATCTTTTAGCTGACCTTTTGCTATTTTAGGCTACCATTAATCAGCTTTTAGTTTTTAGCACACCTTTGGCTACTTTTATCATTTACCTACAACGCTTTTATTTTTAGCTAGCCTTTAGCCACTTTTAGCTCCCATTTCACTACTTTTTTATTTTGGTTGGCCTTTTGCTATATTTAATACTTAGTTAGCTACTTGCTAATTTTAGCTGCTGTTCTGCTGCATTTAGTTTTTTTACAAGCTACTTTGAAGTTTAAGTTTCACTTTTGCTACATTTATCTTTAAGCTACCCATTTGCTACTTTTATCAACCAATCTGTTACTTTTAGCTGTCCTTTTGATAAATTTTAGCAACAATTGTGCTACATTTAGCTTTAGCTACCCATTTGCTGTTTAAACGACCAATCTGCCAAAAGCCTTTTGTTATTTTTATTTAAGCTAGCCTATTATTTCTTTCAGCTTAAGCTCACCTTTTGCTTCTTTATTTATTTTTACATTTAGTTTTAGCTAGTCTGTTACCAACTTTAGCTTTTTGCTAGCATTCTGCTTCTTTTAGGTTGTAATCAGCATTATTTTGCATTTAGCTTTTAGCTAGAGTTCTGCTGTTTTTAGCTTTTAGCAATATTCCCACTGCTTTTAGCTAGCATTCTGCTTGTTTAAGCATTTTGCCAGAGTTCTGATTCTTTTAGCATCTGGCTAGTGTGTCCATCTTTCAGCTTTCACAACTCGGTTTCAGCTTCTACATCAAATTTCAGCGTTCATTCAGCGCTCAGCACTGATTTATTGTTCTCTTCCGAGTACCTGTGTCTGCTCAGAGGCCTCTGGCTGCTCCAGGTGTCCTTGCTTCTTTGCTGCAGCTTGCTGCTCAGCTCGTTGATGATGCTGGGCTTCATGCTGGATGCGGGGGGGTAGATCTTCTTCCCCTCCAACAGAGACCCGGACTGGTTGTTCTCATCACAGCTCATCGGTCCGTCTCCCCACAGGGGCCTCATTTCAGGCGTGCGTGGCCGGTCAAAATACGGTGACATGGGACGCCCCAAGTTCTGCAGGTCCCTGATGCTGTACCCGTCCTGACCACGTTCGTTGACACACACTCCCTCCTCTACCTCGTCTTCTTCGGGCTCGTCTCGCTGCCTGTGGGGGTGGTAGGATGCAGGAGCGGTGCTCGTCTGTCGGTGGAGATCCCCAGCGCGACTTCCCTCTCTGAACCTACTGGATTTGGGGTAGGTGGAAGCTGCTGCAGTCGCATTCTGCATCTCAAACGTTTGTCCGTCCAGGTAGCTCATGTAGGACTCAAGGAAATCCCCTCGTTCTGTTTCCCCTGAGCCCCCTCCCGTTTGCCCTCCAGCTCCAGTTCCCACCCTTTCACCGCGGTCTAGTCTGTCTGCCCGAATGCCAGCTCCAGTTAGAGCCAGGATGCTGTCCAGATGATGGTCGCTGCTGCTGCGGCTGTCCAGTTCTTCTATTCCAGAGTCCACCACTGTCTCCTGGGACTCTCCTTTTTTGGCAGCAGGAGGACGACGGTGGTGCTCCCCTGTCCGGCCTGTGATGGCAGTGGAGGGAGCTGTATGCGTGGCGTGTGTTCGCTCCTGGTAGAGCTGGGTGGAGGTGCTTGTTGCAGTGGCAGAAGTGGCGGTCATTGAAGCACAGCTAGCGGTCGTGGCATGGGAGGCAGTGATTCTGTATGGGACGGAGGCAGCAGCGGTGGAGGAGGAAGCTGGGGGACCACGATAAGCAGGGGGAGGCACCATCGTGTGTGAGGGAGGTGTGGGTGAAGATCGTCCAGACACGTGAGTGCTGTTGTAAAGGTGGTGAGACACAGAAAAGGGTCTGTGATAGGATCCAGACCCAGGAGGAGGTGGAGGTGAGACTGCTGGAGGAGGAGGGGGGCCCATGGTTGGCTGCAGGTTAGAGGGTGAGGAAGGGGGTGGAGGATTGGGCGATGTTTGTGACGGCGAAGGAACAGACTGAGTGAGGTTCGCCACCTCACTGTCGTAAGACGTGAGGCTCGAGGCAGTGGAGTCCCCGGCCTGAGGAGAGGGCAGTGGCGTATGAGCAGCAAAACCACCTATAAACTGTTCTTTTTGTGGGGGCGGAGGGGGCGGCGGCGGAGGAGGTGGTGGTGGAGGTGGAGGGGCGGGGACTTGCTGTTGGCGTGAGGCCAGGTTGTTGGAAAGCCTCCTGTGTTGCGTGTATCCGGTTATTCCTCGGTCAAAGCTGTTAGCAAACTCTAACGGTGGTGGGAGGGGGTCTGCATAGACGAACTCATCATCTGCATCAACCGAGGGGGCGGGGGGAGGAAGAACCATCAAACCCGTCCCACTGCTTCCGGTTGCGTTTGCCCCCTGCTGAGCAACCGTGTGTGGAGGAGAGGGGGGCGTGAGAGACAGGATGTAAGCCTCGGCTTGACTCTCCATCCTGAGGAACGAGGGTCTTCGAGGCTGAGAGCCCCCGTCAGCCGCCGCCTGCTCCGCTCGCCGAACGTAGCCCTCCTGCTCTTTGTTCCGCTCCCTCGACCTCTCCCGCTCCCTGTAGCTTGGCTGATACGGCTGTGACTGATAGTGGTGTGTGTGGATCGTTTTGTCTTCAGAGAAGCGAACCCTAAGACCCTCACGAGCTCCGCCTCCTTCCCGCTCCCTTTCCCCTCCACTTTCCTCACTCCACGTACTCCCAACTCCTCTGAGGATTCTGGGTGAGGGCGGGCGACCGACGCTGGGTGTCGTTCCTGCCAGAGAAGAAGAGGTGACTAGGTAGGAGCTGGAGGACTGCGCCGTGGACGACAGAGGCTGAGAGGTGACGGCAGAAGAGGGGAACACCACGCTCGACATTTGGCGGGTGAAGTGGTGCTCTGTCCCCCTCCTTAACCTGCTGTCGTCCCTCAGGGCGCGCTCTCTGGCAGCCAGGGCGAGGCCGAGTGGTGACGTGGGGTCAAGCGCCTTCCCCGTCAGAGGATGAATAAAGGTGGTGTTGGTGGGGGGAGCTGGCTGCCTGCCTGCCGCTGCGTACAGATCAGTAGGCACAGACTTGGGCTGATAGTCGAGTGCAGGTGAGGAGTACTCAGGTAGGCCAAAGGCTGGAGGCATGCTGCGGGTGTGTTGGATGAAGGTGTCTGCAGAGAACATGCCCTCATCGATGGACTTGGAGGGTCGCAGTCGCATTGACGAACTGTCGGCCTGTGTGCTTAGCTGCTGCTGGGACACCTGAGCCCTCGTCATCCCTCCTACCTCATCACTTACCCCCAGACTCAAATCCTCCTCAGCAGACATGAACAAGGAGGCACTCTTCCGGCGGGCTTCGTGGAATCGCTCCCTCTCTTGGCGAGCTGCGCTCACAATGGCAGCTCCAAACTGGCTGGTGTAGTCCAGATTTTCCTGGACTCGCATGGAAGGCATGGATGGAGGTGGCGGCGCTGGGATGGACGGTGGAGCAGGGGGCTGCGGAGCAGGCGTGGAGGGAGGAGGGCCATGAGGCGTTTTAGCTTCACCTGCCTCCCCAGGTGCAGGAACATCAGCCTCCACGCTGCTGCCCTGGCTGCTCCTCCCACTGCTGCTGGTCGATGGAGCCTTGACGATGATGGTGGGAATAGGAATGGAGCTTTTCTCCACTGAGTCTTTGCTCCCCAGCGTGCCGTGGGTTAGGCGCAGGTCCTCTACCTTTGATTGTTTTACCAAGGGGCCCTTACCTCTCCTGGCCCCTCCTTTAGGACCACCTGCCCCAGCTGTACTGCGTTCTGCCCGCTGGGGCTGACTCTGGGTGGGCTGTTGTTGCTGAGGCATTACAGTAGCAATGCTGGATGGGGGTACGGCTGTGCTGTAGCCTCTTCTAAGACCTGCCGCTTTAGCCCCCGACCCGGCCCCAACCCCAACAGGCTCCCCAGTATAGGCAACCTTCCGCGAAGCAGTCCTGCTTTGAGCCGTATGAGCAGCTGCCTGTACGTATGACGCAGCGTGGTCCATTGTTCCACCACTGGGGCCAGCGCCAGGACCCCCCGCCCTCTCCCTGCCGCCCTGGCTGAAGTGCCCGGACTGGGAGAAGGGCTGGTAGTGCACAGAAGTGGATGTTGACTGGGACACTGAGACAGAGGGCTGCTGGGATGACTTTGCTCTCCAGCCAAGTGGAGGAGCAGAAGAGAAGGGAGGATCTGGTGGAGCTGTAGTGGGAGGAGGCGGGATGTCGTCTGGGCCTGGCACCGACAGACTGCGAACAAACTTCATGACTGGAGGATGAAGGAACTGCTTCTCCTCCTCAGGAACACCTGCAGCACATCCACAAAGAGCAATAAAAACAAATATGTAATACTTATTTAGGAAACACAGGTAGAAAAACAAAAGTGTTGGCATATTTAAATCTGAGAGTGTCTGTCTAATTCTGCCTGCCCAGGAACCTGTTAGCAAGTCTGTCCTCAGCTCCTGTATTTATCAAAATACTCATTAGCTAATAACATGCAGAACTTCAGAAACAAGTACTGAACAGCATCTCACACTGCATTTAGTTGCCCATCAAAGTAAACAGCTATTTGTTGTGTGGAGCAGTAAGTATCTTACCTGCAGTAAACAGCAGTCAGTGCGAACCCATTTTAGAGAATCAGGGAGAAGTTCCCATGAAGAATAGAGGTTATAAAGAGCAGGACCCATTCAAGAACAATCCACCATCAGAAAACAACTCTGAGTGAATCATTTCTGTATTTTTACGGTTTATCGTTTTAGTGTGAAACAGTTCGGTTTGAGAATGTTTTAACTCAAATGACATCGGTGTTGCAGTGTGCATTAAAGCTGCACACCCCTTCCATCCCGTTTAATTCTTCCAATCATATTTCATCCTTTAGTCCTGCAGGGCTACGTAATGTAGCACCTCTGTTTTAAAGCCGAGGAAGCAGCCTTAGTGAGTGTAATCCCAGCTGTTGATTTATGATTTGTTACCGTTTTCTGTTTCTGCTTAAAAAATGACAGCGTCCATACAGCTGGGGCTTACAGGGAAGCAAAGATTCACCTCAGGCTCTGCAGCTGAAACAGAGGCTTTCAGGTCAATTCCCATTCTTTCAAGGTACTTTCATTACAAAAGCAAAGATAATATGAGAATACCTAAATGAGACAGATTATTTTAAATAATCTAGTAAAGAAATCAAACATTTCTGGCAAATCTAGCTGCTCGTTGATCAGATATTTTAGGCAGCATCAGTGTAAGCTTCTCATTGTGAATTTCTCCCCAACTCTCCAAACTGAGATTGTTCAGACGGCTGTCTGCTGCAGGTAAGATACTGACTGCTCATAACTTCATACAATCAAGCCAGATAGCGTCAGTAAGATAAAACAACTTTAACAGAGAGTGTTTGTACAACAAACAATTAGTTACAGATAAAGTTCACACATTTGGTCACAGACAGACACATCATAGACCTCTACTGACCCAGAGGACAGACAGACAGGTGGACGGGGGGCAGACGGAAAATACAGACAACCTCACCGATGGATTTCTGCCGCCGCATACCGTGCTGTGGGGCGTGACCTGACGTGTACTGTCCACGGTCATAGCCGAAGCCCAACCCAGACATCAAACTCATCCCAGACTGATCCCCGTAGTTCGGCTGGAAGCATACGGGAAATGTGGCGTAGTTAAGAGAGAAGATGCTCAGACATGCACGTTATTTAAATTTATAACATTGAGCCTAAACTTTGAAACTCTTGGTGCTGAAAACCTCTTGTTGGATCAGATTGTGTTTCCATATTCTTCACATTTACATGAAGGTTTCCTGGTAGGATGAAAGTTTTTAGCGATCATCATCAACCCAACAAGAGACAATTGGTGATATATTCACCAAAAATGTGTTTGAGCTTTTATTTCCCCTGCAAGGAGGGGCAGGATGGGCATTCACCGTTATCCATAGAGAAGGCTGGTTGTAAAATAATAATAATAATAATAATAATAAATACCGGTAGTCACAAATTAGGAAATATTTTGGTTTTAAAACAAAAAGTGATTCAAGACTTTGACTAGGAATATACCTGATGTGTGCAACCAGGTCTGGGCTGATTTTAGGAGCTCCAGGCAGCTTCATCATGCGGTTAATTTCAAACATGACGCCCTTTTTATCACAGCACACAAAGTTGCAACCAGCAGGATGTTCATCTTGAAAACTGAGGTGCACCGAGGACGGATCCCAGAGGAACGACGTCAGCGCAGACAATTATTGAGAGTTCATTTAGTCAACTGGCTTCATAAACCTTAATACGGCAGGAAAAAATGTCATTTAAAAGTCGAGCTGGACAATAATTCGATATCGATATATATCACGATAAACTTTTATTCAATAACGATGATATGAGTTTTAAGCACATTTTCGATATTTCGATAGGATTACAGCGTTTCACTGACTCATTTCTTTTTCTGTTCAGGATGAAGCGGCCGCTTCAGTTTCAACCCAGACAGAAAAAGGTGCGACATTAAGTGCGTGGTGACGTAGATGTTATGCAGAGCTCTAGTCCAGAATGCGTTAGCGGTAGCAGGCTAGGCTAGGCTAGGCTAATCTCCAACGCGTGTTGAGTTTTCGCTTCAAAATGAGTTCCCACGACCGTCAGAATGTGACTGAACAAGCTTTCACAAGCGAAGAGAAAGCGGATGACATAACTGATAAAAGAGGAAAGACTAATTCGGCGGTGTGGAAGTGGTTCGGCTACTAAGATCCGATAAACTGCAGGTTTCAGTGTGCTGCAAAATATGACCAAGAGTCGTTCCAACAATCGGTTGGAACACATCTAACTTGTTTCATCCAAAGAGTTTCCACTCGATAGAATATGTTGAAAGTCACAAAATGAAGCAGAATAAAAGTTTGAGCCAACGTGTCCCTGAAACAACAGCCCCAGCTGTATCAAAAGAGAAACCCATTTATGTTGTTTAAAGTTAAAACTATTGGCAAAGTTGAGAGTTTTATGTTTATTTGACGGTGATTTCAAATTTCTTTGAAGGCTAAATACAAATAAAAGGTGAACATTAATTTATTTGTACAGTTTTTTCTGAGGCTTTTATATTGTTTAGACAGACAGGCCTCTTCCCTGTCTGTTTTTAAATCCCTTCTTAAAACCCATCTCTTCGCCGTGGCCTTTGACACCATCTGAGATTTTGACTTTTAATCATTTTGATTATCTGACTGTATGATTGTTTTGTTGTGTGTACAGCACTTTGGTCCTGTAGGTGTTTAAAGTGCTCTATAAATAAAGCGGGTATGGTACGTTTATATTGATATCGAATTATATCGTTATCGACCAAACTTAAGAAATATATCGTGATAAAAGTTTTGGCCGTATCGTCCAGTCCTATTAAAAAAGGTACAACACAATCGTGGCCAAAAGTTTTGAGAATGGCACAGATTTTGGTTTGCAGCCTCAGTTTTTTAGAACATTTTGTCAGATGTTTATAAAGTTTAATGAAGTACATTTATAAGCATTAAACTTTTTATTGACGAATACATTCAGTTAAGGCAAAGACTTAACATTTACAATATCTTTGTTAAGACTTCTGCAATTCTCCTCTCTGTGCCTCGCAGTGAGAGGCTGCGTCTGCCGCTTTAGTTCTTATAATTTAACAATAATGAGACGAATATTTATATGACCCAGATTACAGCAAAGGTGTATCTCCCGTTTAACTTTAATTTTTTTTAGCTTAAACTTGTGACGTTCTCTCTGTGAGAGTCAGTTTCTGGTGTTTGAAGTTTAATGTCTGCACAGTTCAGTTTCTACACGGTGTTTTATCAATAAAGCGTTGTGGCTGATCGGATGAGCTGAACTTGATTAGATTTAGAACCATACTGAGAGGTAACTGCACTGTGATAAATGTAACTTCATAAATGATCAAATATGAAAAATAAATTCTGAAAGGGGCTTCAACAAGAGAAAATAACTTCACCCCTGTCCTCTGGAGTCCAATCCCTTTACTTCCTGCAGAACGTCAGTCTGTCCTTCATGTTTTTAGTGGAGAAGTGAATTCTTTGTGTCCGTCTTGACACCTACGCCATCCTTCAAAAGACTTCGTCTCACTGTGTTCAGATTAGGGGTGTAACAATACATCGATTTAAATCGATTAAATTATTAATTATTCAATTACGTCGTGGCAAAACTAAAAAATCGATTCATATCGTCATCTTTAAAATACGCTCTTATTTTGAAATTCCCAAGGCACGTCTGTCGTCATGTCCGTGCGCGGCTGCGCTCTGCGGCCGCCTCAGCAACATGGCAGACGAGGCAGAAAACACAGATAATGAAATTCACTCTCCTGCTGGATTTAAATCAACTCTGTGGATTTTGTTTCCAACAGAACGACGGCTCAACAGACAGAACTCATGTCGTGTGCAACAACAGGTGCCGGTGTGAGTTAAAATACTCAGGAAACACGACAAATTTGTCCGTTCACCTGAAGAAGAAACACGGCACTGACAGCCATGTTATGTAAGCTCAATATCTATTTTTGTTTCTTTATAACTGAAAGGTAATCAGGCCACTTTTAATTTAACTGGTTTAAAAAAATGCACTTAAACTATACTGAACAGGTCATTTATTAATTTTTTTCATTAAGAAAAATATATATTTTTATTTAAAAGCCCGGTGCTTGTAATAACAGAAATAAAACGGTTAAATCATATTTTAATTGTTTTTGTAAATTTATTTATATGTAAATGAGATGGGCATTTGATATCGCAATATATCGATCGCAGACTTGTGAATCGAATAGAATCGAAATCGTATCGTGACACACTTTGTGATATCGAGAAAAATCGAATCGGCATACAAACAAATCGATATAATATTGTGTCGTGGTAAAGCTGGTGATTTACACCCCTAGTTCAGATGCTCTCACACCGGCCCTCTGCCATTCCTGAGCAAGCTCTGCCCAGGTGCTGACCCGATCTTGTAGCTGCATCCTCTTTAAGAGACGGTTCTGACGCTTGCTTGACTTTACCCTGAAACCTTCTTCACTGAACCACTCTCCTTGAAGCTCTTGATGATTTAATAAATGGTTGATTGGGGAACTATCTCACTAGCAGCCAGGTCCTTGTAATTCATCTGATCATTCTTCACAGTCGAGACTGAAATTGCCACTAAAAAACAGAGTAAAAAAAACTGTGAAAACAAAAAGTTGTGACATTCTCAAAATATTTGGCCACGACTGAAGATCTGTCATGTTGTCCAGCTTCTCCATCCGGGGTAGAAATGATGGACGGGAGCTCCGCAGGGCCAAAAGTAAACGACCACAGCACTTCACTGATAACAGTAAAATGAATCAAACAAGTATAGAAGATTAATTTGATGGGCAGTTTGCTGCCATGGAGCCGATTCATTTCTCAGCTGATCCGTGACGAAAAACTTGGTGTAATTTTGTCCGCTTGTTATTATTGTATTTGTCTATTTCCTGTTAATTACCGTATAAATTAGGCTATTAAAAGTGCATATTAACTGCTGGGTGAAGTTGAGTTATTAATAGTGAAATATTACCTGAGTCCACATTATAAGAGCCATTACGAACAGGGAACACATGAGTGATGAAAGAGAACTTTCTCCTAACATTAAGTTTATTTTTACTGCAGCCTGTCTTAATTGATCACAATATTAAAATATTTGGAATGCAGCAATTTTACACATTTGTTATCAAAAACTATGTTATGTACCAACGAGTGTGGATTAGGGCCACGGCGCAGTTTTATTTATTTTTGAATTTTGGCTTTAATCTCAGAATTCTGAGGGGAAAAAAGTCAGAATTCTAAAAAAAGTTAATAAATTTTTACCATTATGACACTAATTCTCTACCAAATGTACCAGAGCTGTTTCTAAATTCAACGTTGTTTTACATTTTTAAATTGTGTGTTCTTCATTTTATCCTCTGTGCTTCTCTTTTGGTGCTTATCTTGATGCAGGCACAGCAGCACACTGCACACTATATAGCATGTATGATTGTGCATGTGAAAAGTAAAGTTATTTTATAGTTTAAATAAATAGAGTACACAGCTCTTTGCTTTGCAATAAAACGAAGGCATCCAACCACAGCGGCAGGGACTGAGCCGACGCCCGACAGAAGGTTTGAGGTGCTGCTGCTGGATGGACGAGGATGACTTCAATCAATCAGGGTGTATTACACAATGTCCTGGCTTTAAAATGTATTATTTTTATTTATAGGTCAAATAGGGACATTAAACTTGCTAAAACTACCATAAATGGTTGACGTGTATGTCCACTTGCCCTGATCTAATTTATATCTCCTGTTAACTTGTTACACTAAACTGTACCTAAAAGGATACATCTGTAGGAAAAACACAAACAAATTCCAGGACGTTTGACGTTTTATGATACACACCTCATTGCCATAGAAACTTCTTCCCCTGTCTCTCTTCGGCCCCTGTCCCCGTGTCCCCGAAGCCTCGTTGGTGCTGATTGTCTGCTGAGCTGCTGCAAGAATTTCATCTAGTTTATCTGAGAGAACAAAGGAATAAAGAGACAAGAAGGGAGACAGGGAAAGAGAAAGACACAGGACAATGAAACAGGAATAAAACAAGGAGAGTCTTGTGGACGGGGGACACACTTGGCGCGGGTGGAAGAGAAAAAGAGGCGGAGACTCAGAAAACATTCAGTGACGAACAGGAGCATCCTTACTCAGAGCCATCTGATAAACTGTCCTCTTCTTCTCTGCAACTTGTGAGGGTTCGAACTCTGAAAGAGAGGAAGAGAAGAGGCTGAGCGGTCAGCGCCGAGTCACTGTGGACAGATATAAACACAATGCCTTCAGCAGGAGAGCACCGGAGCGTACCTGATTTTTTTTTCCAAGGGGTAGCAGCTGGAAGGAGGACAAAAGGAGACTTAAGTTTTGGCAGAAGTGAAAGTGTGACAGGCTTGTTACAGTGAATACTAATCTTACTCTCCAGAGCCCGATGAACTGAGTCACCTCAGAATAAAAAAAAGCACATTCACCCCTACGCACCACACAGCTGAAGATGCACACTCATGTTACAGTAAAGATGCTGGAACACACGCATGATGCTTACTGTTACTCTATTTCAAGCACATGAACGTGAAGACACAGATCAATCTGTTGGTTCCCCTCGGAGCTCACGGAAACTGTGCTTCATTTCTCAAGAAAATGTTTCAGTTCAACTGCACAACGAAGCGATGCTGTCAAATTTGTGTACTCTTTCATTAATGAAGGCAAAAGTACCGCATAGAGCACATTACACGCTCGTTAACCATTAAACAACAATCTATGGCAATGGTCCACACAAGACCTTGTATAACCTTTGACCTTGATTTGTGACCGCAGACTTTACCATAATTCATCAGCCTTTCGGCGGGCGTTGTAATAAAACACCCACAAAGGTCACTGAAATAACTTGGAACTGTCATAATTACAATAATAAAAAAGCAACTCAACAATTAAACGTTGCTTTTAAATTGTGGTTCACTAGAATTATTTTCAACAGCCTGAAATGAAATCGGCATCGACAAAACGAGCAGAGGAGGCTCGGGTCTGCTGCTGCATCTGAACCTGTGCAGGGCAATGACATCTCAAGACTATCTAGGACTTCTGGAGAGAAATGTGCTGCTCAGTGTCAGAAAGCTTGGTCTCAGTTGTAGGTCATGGGACCTCCAACAGGATAATGACCTAAAACACACAGTTAAAACATCAAAGGATGGATCAGAACCAAACATTGGACTTTTCTAATGTGTCCTTTTGAGCCTGGCGCCAAATCATGTTGAACGTCTGAGGAAGAAGCTGAAACATCTGGAAGAGGAACCTTGAAACCTGATACAGGTGGAGCTGTTTGTCAATGATAAGGGATACCTGTGGACAGGTGGACCAGAACACCTGAAGACATGTGGACCAGAACACATGTGGACAGGTGGACCAGAATACTTGTGGACAGGTAGGCCAGAACACATGTGGACAGGTGGACCAGAACACCTGAAGACATGTGAACCAGAACACCTGTGGACAGGTGGACCAGAATACTTGAGGAAAGGTGGACCAGAACACCTGAAGACACGTGGACCAGAACACGTGAAGACAGGTGGACCAGAATACTTGTGGACAGGTGGACCAGAACACCTGAAGACAGGTGGACCAGAACATCTGTGGACAGGTGGACCAGAACACCTGAAGACATGTGAACCAGAATACTTGTGGACAGGTGGACCAGAACACTTGTGGACAGGTGGACCAGAACACTTGTGGACAGGTGGACCAGAA